GTCAAAGTGCAAGTAGATAAATAGGTACCACTCCAGCGGGAAGGTAAATGGCGTTTCCATGCGCTGCTCTGGTTCTCCAGAAGCGGCTTAGTCATGCTGGCCACATGACCCGGAAGCTGTTTGCGGACAAACGGCAGCTCCCTCGGCCAGTAAAGTGAGATGAGCGCCGCAACCCCAGAGTCGGCCATGACTGGACCTAATGGTCAAGGGTCCCTTTACCTTTTTAAGGTAGGTGGTGCAGCCACTTTTGAATGGGAACAAAGTTTAGCTGTCATTTGTGGTGGCCACTGGCCATGTTTGTTTTTGTTGTTGTTTAGTCGTTTAGTCGTGTCCGACTCTTCATGACCCCATGGACCAGAGCACGCCAGGCACTCCTGTCTTCCACTGCCTCCCGCAGTTTGGTCAAACTCATTTTAGTAGCTTCGAGAACACTGTCCAACCATCTCATCCTCTGTCGTCCCCTTCTCCTTGTGCCCTCCATCTTTCCCAACATCAGGGTCTTTTCCAGGGAGTCTTCTCTTCTCATGAGGTGGCCAAAGTATTGGAGCCTCAGCTTCAGGATCTGTCCTTCCAGTGAGCACTCAGGGCTGATTTCCTTAAGAATGCAGAGGTTTGATCTTCTTGCAGTCCATGGGACTCTCAAGAGTCTCCTCCAGCCATGTTTAGTTACCCCAAAGTTCACCTCTTGCCACCCAGACTAGCCTTTACCAACCTGGCACCCTCCAGCTGTTTGGGCTATAATGTGTGGGCTAGGGCTGTAGTCATCTGGAGAGACCTGAGTTGGTGAAGGCTGGTCCAGAAATTAGAACAGTGCTACATGGGACCAAATGCGGCCCTCCAGGCCTTTCTGACTGGCCCTCCAAATGTTCACCTATCTGCTCACTGGACCACCTCACACCCTGGGGGCATTTGCCTGGCTAGAATATGCCTCTTGTTCATCCAGATGATGAGAGCTGTATGTGAGTGCAGGTAGGAACTAGCCTACTGTGCAAAGGTAAAATTTATGTTTCTTCCCATTTTTACCTCTTGTCCTGCCCACCATGGATAGTGGTCTTTAGAAGGCTGCCCAAAATGAAATGTGGCTCGTATAGAACATAAAAGACTTCATCACTCCCTAAATGTTTTAGGTTATAAGCTCCTTGTGGACCTGTCCATTCTATATGCTTTCACTTCAGACCTGGAAGCGGTCTCAACTTTTAAGATGTCTGTCATTTTGCTGCAGCCAGTATAACAGCAGAGGCTCTTTTGGAAATCAGCAAAATGCTGGGTTGAACAGCAGGTGGTGCTCCAGCCCTACAATAACTTTGGTGCTCAAGCTTGGAGACTTGCTATTTGGGGGCTACCTAATTGGTTGGTGTCATGGCTAGACAGGAAAGTGACCAGGGTGTGTGTGGGGGGGGTGCAGCAATATAGCTGATCTATGAGTGCAGCGGGACAAAACAGAATACAAGCTTCTAGTTTACTGTTTCCTAGAGCTGTTGTGCTCAGGTCCTGCTACGGGCATCTGGTTGGCCACTGTGAGAACAGGATGCTGGACTTTGGCCCAAGTTCTCACGTTCTTCGGCTTGTGGGTGCCATTACCCAAACACTCCCCCTATGCTATTGTAGTTTTGCAAATATCCACATCTTCAAAAAAAGGGAGGGGGGGAGAGAAGACCCAGGTACCAGACAGATACCAGAAAGGGTCCTAAAACCTGTGAGCACTTAGAAAAGGATGCTGTGATAACTAAGACCCATCATGGGTTTCTCAAAAATAAGTCATGCCAGATGAATAATTTCTCTTTTTTTATGGAGTTACAAACTTGGTGGGTCAGGGCAATACTGTGGATGTGGCATATGATATTCTTGTGAGAAAACTGGTAAAATGTGGGTTGCATGAGGTAACTGTTAAGTGGATTTGTAACTGGCCACATTTGTTGATACAGTGGATGCTTGGGTTGCGAACATGATCTGTGCAGGAAGAACGTTCGCAACCTGCAGTGTTTGCGAACCGCGCATCTGCGGTCGCAATTTGGCACTTCTGCACATGTGCAAGCGCCAAAACCCAGAAGTAACCCGTTCCAGTACTTCCAGGTTCGGAGCGGTGCACAATCCGAAGCATCTGTAACCCGAGGTATGACTGTGGTGCCCCGCAAGACGAACGCCTCGCAAGACGGAAAACCCGCTAGACGAAAGGGTTTTCCGTCGCGGAGGCGCTTCGCAAAACAAATTTCCCTATGGGGTTGCTTCGCAAGACGAAAAAATCTTGCGCGTCCCCGCGGGTTTTTTTTCACTCCCCCCCCCTTTTCCTAAGCCGCCAAGCCGCCTATCAGCTGTTCCGCTGATAACCCGCTTAACAGCTGATCGCGAAAAGCCGCTAGACAGCTGTAGCGCTAATCCGCTAAGCTGTCAATGGGCTTGCTTCACAAGACGAAAAAACCACTAGACGAAGAGAATCGCGGAACGGATTCTTTTCGTCTTGCGAGGCACCACTACTGGAATTGGAGAAGTTATGTATGGGGCATTGGGGAGGGGTAGTATCTCTGGTCAGGGACACGTCACGATCTCTGTGGGTGCAAGCATTCTCAACCTCAAAATGCTTTGCAAACAAATGATAGTGAGCTACTGTTGGTTCCACCACCTCCTTTGGACCAGACTGTAAGGGGCTGTCTGCACTACCCAAAGAGCTCTGTCAGATGACGTAATGAGGTAGGCTTGAAGAGCTGCCCACACCAGTGTTTGATTGCACTTGACCAGAACTTTCCTTCACTTGTGTTCAAGCCATCTTCCAGCCTGTTTCCTTGCCCCAAGATCTAGAGTATACCAGGGAGCCAAGTAGCCAAGTGCGAGAGAGGATCTGGCCAGTTACCCATGCCTCAATAATGCGGTACCCGCAGGCCTCCGGGCCAGAGAGATCTACTAGGGTGCCCACCAGCTTCTCTAATCCCCTTTTGCACCAGATTATAACTTACAATGTCTGTTTCTCTTCACTGCCCCAAGCAGTGGTTTGCAAGAAACACAACGCAAGGTGCATCTCCACCACATCCAGTAGTTAAGCAAATAGGAAATACCAGGACAGACTTTGCTCGTGTGCTCAAGACATCGATTCTATAAAACATATTTTGCTGCACTGTGCGAAATAGGAGCAAGCCAGGGCTGAACTGATATTACCCTTGTTGGTACCTTTCCTGGGAAAATCAGATGCTCACTATGTCAGGTTCCTATTGGAAGACAGGACAAACGCTGGAACATTAGCAGTGGCAGTTTTTATCGGTGGTTGCAAGAACCAATGATCCCTATCTTTAAGTCTGAACAAAATGCTTGTTTAACCTGGAGGTAGGCTGTCTGAATTGTGCATTGCTTTGTAACGATTTGTTGGGTCTCTGGACCGTAATAAAGATTGATGATGAAATAGGAAATAGTGGAAGAAAGAGGGTCATGTTAAAACCTTTTTCCTCTCCCACTGCTGGTGGGGTTGTCCCAACAAATGACACTGTCCTCTGGAGAAACATCTCAAACAGACCACCACAGGCAATCAGGGGACACACTCTTGCTGGCTGACCAAGCAGACCAGGTAACAGCTAGGATGGCGCCAACCAACCCCTTCCAGCTTAGTTCCCTGTAGGTCTATATTTGGTAAAAGGGGAAACAAGATGAGTTTTGATTTTTCTCTCCCATATGCAACTAATTAGGCTACCCATGACAATCAAATCCCAAACCTCATTCAACTGTACCCAGTGAAGAGGAGCAGTGTGATGTGTCCATTTCCTTGCCCAAATGATTTTTGTAGTCAACTTCCTTCCTTAAGAAGTGCAGCTCTATGCCAGAAATATGGGCCTCAAGCCAGGGTTGACACTTTAGAAAGTCACAGAAGACAACTGAAGGGCATTCAAGTCACAACGAGCAACTTTTCAATGACTGAAGCTTTTATTGTAATCAAGTGTGGGTAAATGCAAAGTTGCTTTATGTATTTGTTTGGGTGAAGGATGCATGCGCACACACACCTTGAACCCGCAGACTCCCAACTCAACACAAAACAAGGAAGCCACCAGAATCTTTGATAAACCTTTATTATTGTTATTGTTATTAATAATTATTAAATTTGTATACCGCCCTTCATCCAAAGATCACAGAGCGGTTCACAACATAAAAAGAAAACACAAAAGACTTAATAAAACAAAAACAAATACCCCCCCTCCCACAAACACATTTAAAAGGCCATAAAATGTTCATCAGCCAAAGGCCTGGTTATTCAGGAACGTTTTTTGCCTGCTTTCTAAAGATACATAATGAAGGCGCCAGACGAGGCTCCCTGGGGAGAGCATTCCACAAGTGGGGAGCCAACACAGAAAAGGCCCGTTCTTATGTTGCCACCCTCTGGACCTTTCATGGAAGAGGCACACAAAGTAGGGCCTCAGATAATGATTGCAGCGTACGGGTTGGTTCATATGGCGAGAGGCGGTCCTTCCCTACCATCACAGGCTTCTTGTTTTGTTAGTTTTGCCCTTCATATATTACGGTTACAGCTACAAAGACAGTTCATATTGCATTGATTTGTATGTGCTGAAATCTCCTCAGGCCACCAAAGGTAAGGGGGAGGTCTCCCAAGGGTGGAGTGACTCACAAAAGGGGTGGGGAAAACACACGACTGAGATGTGAACTCAAGGCAGACAGGCAGTTTCCCCCAAAGCAGCAGTGGACAGACCCAACTTAAGGCCCAAAGAGAACTGGGGGAGAGGAAGCTGCTCTCTGCTGCACAAGGCTTTCTGTGTACAGAGCAGCAGCAGGGCCCTCTGAGCCGCTGCAGCCTTCAGGGATAACTGCTTCTTCACAGTGCACTTTCCTGACCCTGGAGGAGGAGGAGCAGTAGGCAGGCAGATCTGCCAGCACAGAAAACAGCAACAGCTCAGCTCCAGGCATCAACTTCCTTCCGCACATCAGAAAAATGGGCATTTTGTGATTTTTCTCTCCCTGAGATTTATTTTTCTCTCTCCCAAGTCCAATCAGCCCTTTTCATTATTAACCATTAAAAAAAAACAAAAACCCATCTAGTTTGTGGTTCGTCCAACACCCATAAAAAGAAAGTCACTAATGATGAGGCGATGCCACAGTAAGGCAGACCCCCAAAGAAGGGCCTTTCATTCCCCACCACCCACCACTCTCCTAAGGCTTTTCCCCACAAAGGGATTTTTTCTTGACTGAGGCTCTCAGTCAACCCAGATGCAGGACAGGCAACACGAAAAGGAAATGGAGCACTAAGGACCTCTGAGGGGGTCCAGTTTGCAATGATTATTTTATTAGACGATACTGAAAATGTGCAAAACGTTTTTAAGAACATAAATATGAGACCTGTACAAAAATACAGAATACCAAGGACAAAGTAACTATATTTAAACATGTCTACAAAAATAAGTGTGACAGTTTCGTCTTTTGTCTTTAAATAAATACAAAATAAATATGCTTTGAAAGCAGCAAAACAACGACAAAAATGGAATGCGATGCTGGTCCCCAATCAAGGATCCCCTGGGCTCCAATAAGTCTTAGTGGACAAACTCAATGAACCCTTGAAACAGTGAAGTCAGAGATATGGCAGCCACCACCTTCCCTTCTCCTTATGATAAGCACCTGGTGGAAGTGGGTGGGCGGAAGCAAGCAGCTCCCCACTCCCTTCTAATATCATAATGAAGGCTACCATTTTCACCTTTGTCAGTTAACCTGGTGTGTCCCCCATAGCAAAATTTCTTCCTTGTCCAAAGTTCAAGTCCACCAGCCCACCCTAACCTAATTCAAACTCTAGCATCAACCTATAAAGTTCTATGGATGAATGAAGCAATGCAAGGCTTGAAGTTTCAAGAATAATTTGCTACCTGCAGCACTTGGCAGAACTGTATTTGAAGCACCATGCAAAACGCTAACTGGGAAGCAAAAGTGGCCTCTCCACAGCCCCTGCCATGCTGCAGTGAGCTCAGATGCAGAGACTGGACCAGTGGCAACACAGCTCCCCAGTTACTTGGTCAGGCCATTCAAAATGTGCAGAACTGCACGTGCCAGGTCCTCTCAGCTACTCCAGCATGCAAACACAGACATGCAGACTCTAGACTGCAGCTGCTGCTTTTGTTATAAAGTGCATATTGCCAGCAGTTTTACAGGAACACAGAAACTATAATAAAAATAAAATATTTTAAACTCTGTCTGGCTAACCTGAAATTAACACTCAGACTCAGCAGGGACTGGCTTTGCACCCTGAAGCCTTGGTTTTAATTTACACTGCAGCGTCAGAATTTTGAAGTAGAAAAATGAATTGCTCCTATCCAAAAGAAAACATGTAAACAGCAAAGTATTTTGGCCCAGCAGCCATTCCTACCCAAGGCAGGTCGTTTGCAGAATCAAAACCATGGCTAAGAAGAGTTTACAACTCAACAGAAAAAAGCTCTTTCAAGCAAGTTGGAAGATGATACATTCTCCAGCTGTGAGCTTGCGCAAAAGACTCTAAAGAAGGCTAAAAGCCAGGCCACCACTGACAGCTCAAGAAACTTTCCTTCAATTCCCAGTTGGTCCCTTGAACATGGGAAGAACTGCCAAACGATTGTTTAAAACACATATAGAGCTTTTGATAGCAACACAGTAGAAAGGCCCAATACCTCATCATTCCCCAACACACACCATCTGGGATTTTCACAGCTTAGTTTGATCAGCTTAGTGTCAGTCAACACATTCACAGAATGAAATGGTGGCACACCCTGGGGGTCAGAGCCCCAAGATTTTGTTGAAAAAGTTCAAGGGCCCAGGCACCACCTGGTCACCGCGACTGCACGCCCAGAGTCATCTTCAGGTTCTCATAGACCACGTAGCTAATGCTCACTGCTGGGATCACCTTCATGAAGTTGGGAGCCAAGCCCCTGTAGAGACCAAAGGCTCCCTCTGTCTTCAGGATATGCTTGAAGAGACTCCTCATTGTTACCTGTGGCGCTCCTTCGACTGAAGCTGAAAGAGAAGCCGTTGGACAATCATCAAGAGCCTGACCACATGGACTGTGGACTGCACAATACAGCATGTCAGGGGCTGGCAGAGTCCAGGGTGGGGGCAGAAAAATCTCAGGGAAGGGCCCAGAGGGTTGTGGGGGTCATGGCTGAGAGAGAGGGGGAGAAAGAATCAGAGGGTAGTGACAGGGAGGGGGACAGGCAAGAACCACTTGATTTCCCCCTGCTTATGTCCTCACACCAGCAAGCTCGTTCCTGCCTCCCTACCTCCCATGCTGACCCCTTCCTGGAAGGAGGGGAGCAGGAACGTGCAATAAGTTCCCACACACTCAAAAGGCAGAATGGTGGTTGAGTGCCCCGCAGGAGGAAGGATAATTCTAAGAGACATTGCCCGCCCCCCAAAATCTCCTAGGTCCAGAAAAAGTGGGAAATGTAAGCAACAGAAGGGCGAACAAGGGCAAGATGAGCAGGTGACAGCAAAGGTTGCAAGGTTTTTAGCTGGGGCAATCAGAATAAGATCCACTATCTATTGATTCAAAACCCTAAAATGTATTTTATATACTTGACTTTTTAATTTCTATTCTTTGTATATCATATTGTTGTTTTACTGCTATGGCCGATGGCTGACGCAAATAAAGATTCATTCATTCATCTGGTAAGGTGGAGAGAACACCTGGAAGAATGATCCTCATCCAGCCCCTCTAGTATTTGGGGCTGGGAAAGGGAAAAGCACAGGTTCTGTTCAACTTTCCTAAAGCTAGAGCACAGCTTGGCAGTCAGGGTAGTAAAAGTGGGGATTAGCAAGGCTCGTATTGTGTTGTGGAGAAGAGAGGCTTATCTTGTGCATTGTCTGCAGTGCCTTGAGGGACTAATGTACCAAAGCTTTCTTTCAATAAAAGTGAATGGGAAAACCTCTACTAGTCACAGCTCAATTCCTGAGGGGCACTGCATACCAGACACACATTTAACTTGCTGTGTGGCGTTTAACAGCCTGTGATTATGTCTCTGTAACTACTTGGCTATGTGCCAGCCTGAGACAGGAGCCAAGATCAGCCCAGCGCAAAGAAACAAGAGGTGTTTGCACTTAGATATGCTAACAACATTATAAACCTATAAAGCTTTACCTACTGTTGAGTTGGGGGCGGGGAGCAGGAAGACAAAAAAATTCCCCACCACCAGACACACATACACTAGAAACATGGGATCACAAAGTTAAATTGGGATTAGATTCAGGGCAAATAAAATTAAATACTTCTACAGAATTTATTTATGGGATTCACTGTTCAAAGATGTGTTGAACATTTAAAATTCTCAGGTGCCTTTCAAGAGACTTAGACAAAAACATGGAGGATAATGTCTATTGTTTACTTAGTTATTGTGGCTAAGTAGAACCTTCAGGTTCAGAGATTGTATATATTTCTAAAAACCAGGTGCTGAGCAGCAAGACTTTCTGCATCATAGGTTACACCCAAGGGCCTCTCAAATGCTCTTACCCTGAGCTTGCATTCGTGTGCGTACTAGGGCAAGAGGGTAACTGGCCAGTTGTCCACAGGTGCTAGAGATGGTACCACAGGCCAACAGAACGAACACCCCTGGATCAGCACTGTTCACAGCATAATGTTGCAGCCAGCTGTTTTTCAATGTCTAGGAGGAAAAAATAAATTGTTCACAAAGCAAGCATCAGTAGGACCCTTACGAATCTATAGTATGGGATTTGAGGTGGAGTAGGGAGAGACCAATACTACAACTTTGAATATCCAAGCTGCAAATCCTAGACTAGAGCACAGGTGGGAAATTTCACTGGAACTTAGCAGATTGGTGTCAGGACTCTAGCCTTCCTTAGCACATTCCTTTAGGACAGCAGTTCTCAACCTGTGGGTCCCCAGATGTTGTGGACTACAACTCCCATCATCCCTGAGCTCTGGCCTTGCTAGCTAGGGGTGATGGGAGTTGTAGTTCAACAACATCTGGGGACCCACAGGTTGAGAAAGGCTGCTTTAGGATATCTGCAACTTCCTCTCCCACAAAGCAGCTGCCAAGCCTCTTACCTCATATACAGCCAGGTCAATTCCTGCATAGGGAATGATCCCCAGCATATTGGGGATGTAGCCTTTGTAGAAAGCACCCATTCCTTCTTTGGTGAGGATGTTCTTGGCACAGTGCAGCATCCCTGAGTACTGCCCTGTTTTGCGCAGGGCCATCCGTGTCTTCAGAACCTAGCCCATGAGAAGAACAGATGCATCAGGAAAGCCTGTACAGAACAGGCAGGCAAATACAAACTTTTCCTGAACCAAGTAAAAAAGAAAGATAACTAGTAAATTATGTGTTCTTAAACCTTGGGTCCTCAGGCATTGTTTAATTACAGCTCCCATCATTCCCAGCCAGTTTTGCCAATGCTGAAGTCCCAACATCATCTGAGGAACCATGGCTGAAGAACACTGCAATAGACCACATTGCTAGTGAAGTCTTAGTATCTCTGATGGGCATGTCACCAATGAAGTCACCACTGTGGGAAGAGTTGCATCTAAAACATTTGAAAGCGGTCTGTTGTATGCAAAAGGAAAGGAGAACATCAGCTGCCAAAGGCTAAATTCAGGAACTCACCTCCATTGGGTAGATGCTGCTCTGTGCAATGGCTCCTGCCAATGAACCTGCTACCAGCCTCTCATGAATCCTCAGCACCTCCTGGTCAGTGCCAATGAATCGCTTGATCTATAGATATAAAAGAATTGTGTCATTTGATACAGCAGTCTGCACAATTCACACCTGCTTCTTATTCCCTTGTTAGCCTCAACATTGGGATGTTAGCTGAACATCTCCTTCGCCGTGCCTTGGGTCCGTCTGATGATTTTACCTGTTCATAGGCCATGAACTTGATGGCAGACTCTGGAGCAATTTTCAAAACATTGATGCCATTCCCTCGCCAAAGTGACCTTGTGCCACCCTCTCTGATCATCTGGGTAAAGCCTCCAACGATGCACATGTTGTTACTGCGAGAAGCATGGACCTGAAAAGGAGAAAGGCATTTCTGGTTGGATCCAGGCCCATTTTCAGTTTTCCTGCTTGGGCAAAAAAAGCTTTCCTTATCTACATACAAGTTTTAAACTAGCTTGCCTCACAGGTGTAGCAGGAAAAGGGACACTTTCATTCAACATCAGTTATCTATAGTCCAATATTATCAAAATTAGTAGCTCATGGAACAGCAAGAAGTGAAAAGGGAAGCAGTGGGAAGTGGAACTGATGACGAAAGGGAGGCATGGGTCAGTCCGGTGACTCCTATGCAAAGTCCAAATTCCCCATTTCACAAGGTACTTCCAATGACAGCTGTGTTTCTCTGTCCTTTGAGCCCAGAACAGGAAGAGCTGCCAGCAAGTCACAGGTTACCTCATTTCCAGCTAGAGCTGTCAGGACTAGTTTTAAGGGATTGCATGTTCTGCCAAGGCTGCGCAGTCCAAGGACTGTGCTGTTGCTGACCTGACCTGCCCAGCTTCCAAAAAACTACAAGTATAAATTCTGGAGGGAACCAGAAGTGCAGGTCATATGTAGAAAAGCAGGGCTCACAGAAACTGGCTGAGAGTGGCTTCCCTCTGGGTGTCAGAATGACATACAAGCAGACATCACCATATGTTACAGCTCTCTTGTTTCTGGAGGGAAAGTCTTGCAAGACTGTATTCTATCTATATCCTTGAACTAAGAGGAAAAGTTGATGGACCCTTCTGCCAAGCTTCCACCCTTACCTGCATGAGAACTTTCAAGCGGTCCAAGGGAGCAGTGCATGTTCTTGACACTGCCCCTGCCCCTCCACCTGCAACTAGGTGTCGCCACCACATTCCAGTCTGCCTCTCTTCCACTGTGAACTCATCTGGTACTGTCAGGTTCTCTCCTACATCAAAAATCTGCAAAGCAATAAAGCATGGCATGAGTAAAACCATTTTCTTCAGCTGTACTAGGTGTGCATGAGGGCTTCCTCAGAGATCTGTTCATCATGCACCTAGATTAAACAATTTAAGCATGGAAGCAATTAGCACTAGTTTACTATTTCAACACCTGCCCCTGCTTTATCTGTATCTGCAGCAGCTTTGTTCTCCCCTGCATGTGGTTGCAGCTAATAAAATTCATTAGAGGGTATTTCAGAAAATATACCGTAAATTTCGCTCCATAACACGCAGATTTTTCCTCCTAGAAAGTAAGGGGAAATGTCTGTGCGTGTTATGGAGCGAATGCCTTCAGATGGCGGGGGAATCTGCTGCAGTCGTGAGCAGTCCGTGGCTCGCTTTGAAACACCAAAGCGGGTGTAAGCAGCTCCTGTCAGCTAGCGGAGCCGGGGAGGAGGGAGAGAAGCAGAGCGGGGTCAGCTGCTTTAAAACAACCCCGTCCTCTATGTCCCTCTCTCCTCCCCACTGAGCTCGCTAAGTAGCAGCAAAGCTTTTCAGCCAGCCTAGCCGGGAGGAGGGAGAGAAGCAGAGCGGTGCTCTCTGTCCCTGCCTGCAGTTTTTTGCTGTCCGATTTTGGATTAGCCACTGTGTGTGTGTGTGTGTGTGCTTGAGCTATCGTTCTCCTCCTCCTGCTTCCCGTTCACTCTCCCTGCGCCCCTGCGCTCTCCTGCGACTTTAGGATTGACACTGTGTGTCTGTGTGTGTGTGTGTGAGGGCTCCTTCTCCTCCTCCTGCTTCCCATTCACTCTCCCTGCGCCCCTGCGACTTTAGGATTGACACTGTGTGTGTGTGTGAGGGCTCCTTCTCCTCCTCCTGCTTCCCGTTCACTCTCCCAGCGCCCCTGCGCTCTCCTGCGACTTTAGGATTGACACTGTGTGTCTGTGTGTGTGTGAGGGCTCCTTCTCCTCCTCCTGCTTCCCGTTCACTCTCCCAGCGCCCCTGCGCTCTCCTGCGACTTTAGGATTGACACTGTGTGTCTGTGTGTGTGTGTGTGTGTGAGGGCTCCTTCTCCTCCTCCTGCTTCCCGTTCACTCTCCCAGCGCCCCTGCGCTCTCCTGCGACTTTAGGATTGACACTGTGTGTCTGTGTGTGTGTGAGGGCTCCTTCTCCTCCTCCTGCTTCCCGTTCACTCTCCCTGCGCCCCTGCGACTTTAGGATTGACACTGTGTGTCTGTGTGTGTGTGTGTGAGGGCTCCTTCTCCTCCTCCTGCTTCCCATTCACTCTCCCTGCGCCCCTGCGACTTTAGGATTGACACTGTGTGTCTGTGTGTGTGTGAGGGCTCCTTCTCCTCCTCCTGCTTCCCGCTCACTCTCCCAGCGCCCCTGCGCTCTCCTGCGACTTTAGGATTGACACTGTGTGTCTGTGTGTGTGTGAGGGCTCCTTCTCCTCCTCCTGCTTCCCGTTCACTCTCCCTGCGCCCCTGCGACTTCCAGCACCCTGCGACTTTAGGGCCAGTTCTCTCTCTGACTGTGTGTGTGTTTTGACCTCACTGCGCTTGTTGGGGGAGAGTGTTGGTCGCAATTTTTCTTGATTTGTCTCAGAGTGGTTACTATCATGGTTTCCTTGCCAGGGAGGAGGGAGAGACGCAGAACCTGCTTGTTCTAAAGGAGCAAAGCCAGAGAGGAGCCTCTCCTGCATTATTAGCAGCATCCTTCTCTACACCCCCCACGTGTGCTCCTTGTCCCTTGAGTGCTTTTCCTTCCCTCCCCACTTAAAACGTGGTTACAAAGCACGGATCCACATAGATCCTCAGGATTTTTGCACTGGGTCACCCCAAATTCACCATCAGATCACATAGCATAACCATGGCTACAGCCTGCACCAAAAATCACACGCACCCACTGTTTCATGGGGCCGCAATGGCGCAAAAATGTGGTTACAAAGCATGGATCCACATGGATCCTCAGGATTTTTGCATTGGGCTACCCCAAACTCACCGTCAGATCACATGTCTGTGGCCACAGCATAAACCACAAAAATCATACATCCACTGTTTCGTTTAGAATGTTTTTTTCTTGTTTTCCTCCTCTAAAAACTACGTGCGTGTTATGGTCAGGTGCGTGTTATAGAGCGAAAAATATGGTACCATAGTTGTAGTTCCAAAAATGGGCCACCTGCCAGCCTTGCAATCTGCTGATGTTCAAAATGACTGGCCAAGAGGAACAGAACAGGGGGAAAGATCTAGAGTTCTTCTGGAGTTCACAGCCTAGTTTGATCTCATTATGCAGCACTAAAAGCCAAATTTAATCAAAGAGCATCGTATCACTTTCCAGAGCTGGCAGGTTGCAAACTAGCAGGACCCAGTTGTTTGCATACCTTGGGTACAAGTCAAGCAGCTTACCTGCCTTCCCACTCCCTGAGAACATTCACTTTCACCTGTGCCAGAAATTTTAAGAACAAGGCCAGAAGGCACATAAAAACAGAAAGCAACTAGAGCGAGAAGGCAGCTAGCTTTTGATGGAGACTGCTGATAGGAGTCAAGAGCATGGAGCGGGAGCCTCACAAATGCAACCATGAGTTTCACATATGTTGTGCATGAAGGATCTTAATTTCTTACCGTTGAGTGCTTCCAGTACAGGATAATCTCAGGAATGTTCTCCACAGGGTGCAACAGGTGATAGTCACGCCATTCATTCCAATCTATTGTCATTGTTCCATTTTTATCCATGCTGCAAGAATCAATTGGGAAGGTAAAATGAGCCAAGAGGAGGAGTCTGGCGTATCAACTCTTTAGCTCCACACCAACCACACAAAACATAAATATTTGCAGAAGAGGACTAAAGAACATGCAAGCACAATTTTAAGAGCTTTATGTATCAGATAGCGTAAAATACTTGGGAGAGTAATTTTCAAACAGTCATGAGGGCAAAAATCTTTCCTGGGATCACAGGACAGCTCATGAGGAACAAATTGTGTTCCATGTGAGGCTAAGATGGCTTCTCCATTGCCTCTCCCCACATCCTCTTCCTTCCACTGGGTCCTCCAAAATTAAATATGTAAGGCTGTGCAGGATGGACATAAGATATTCCATAGGAAGAGTCTAGATTGGTTAATATGTGTGGTCATAAAACGAGTCAGATTAACTAGTGAGTGCAGTGGCGTAGCGTGGGGGGTGCAGGGGGGCCGGCCGCACCGGGCGCAACATCTGGGGGGCGCGCGCTCGCACTCGCAGCTCTCTGCCCCTACCTGGCTCACTCAGGGTTAGGGGGCGCAAATTACTTGCCTTGCCCCGGGTGCTGACAACCCACACTACGCCACTGAGTGAGTGGCATGTGTAACTGTGTGTGCACTCCCCTAAGTCATCTGCAATTTGTGTCCTTGCTGCCTGGTTATGGTCTGTACAGTGTGGCTTCATCTGTGGAAGGCAAATGAGTCAGTAGATTCTACCTTGGGGCAGCAGGAGGAAGAAGTTTTGAACTTGAGCGTTTTCCGTCCTTACCAATTAAATCAGTCTTACTAATCGAGAAAGGATTCCCAAGTATGAGACACAGAAGTGCTGGTTTTAACATACTCTTAAGCATCAATTCAACCTTAGCCCTATTGGCTTGCTTGCAGTTACCTTCTGGAAACAAAAACATGTGCTGTGCTTTTAATAGTTACCCCTTATTTTTCTGCTGTTTTAGGAGTGCTTTATATTGATTAGCTGTGTAATTTGTTGATATTGATACTGAATTTTTTATTTTTTATGAGATATACTGGTGTCTGCCTGTGGACTCACCCTCCATCACCACCAGGCTCACTAAAGATCTGCTACACATTACCAACTTCATTGCGGGTGGGGAGAAAAACTAGTACAAAAAGGAAAAGGAGCCAGACAAGAATATACACTTTGGTACTTACTAGGTGACAGGACCCCAGAAGTGTCCCGTTCTTATTCTGACAGACAGGGAAGCAGAGGGGAGAATACAAAGAGCAAGAAAGGGACAAATGTTAAAAGTTAGTGCAACATGCATGCAGCTGAAAGCATTTCAGTATGTTATGTTGCATGCACGTATTAAAGCAGCGAGCACTGGAACATATACCTTGATTTATACCTTAATTTAAGATTATCTAACCTGCAGAAAATCATTATATACTGCAAGGACAGCAATTCCAGAATGCTGGCAAAATCATTCATATCTCTTGCTTAGCAGCTATTAAGCAAGTTCCCGCTTGGCCTACATGCTACTTGTCTATCTTACAGGACGGAATCTTAGCACCGTAAATCAATTCCTGGCAAGGATGAAGAAGCCTTTCCAAGAGGGAACGCTGCTCTCTCGTGAATCAGCATTCTGCTTACTTTTGATGTCACATGCTCTTATGCATTCTGGCCTCCATCTGTCCCTACTGTTCCAGCAAAAGATGTCAGTGGATCTTCACCTGTGATTGCTATTCTAGCACAATTTGCTGCTCTAGCAAGCTTTGCTATGGACGAAACGCTGCAGAGTTGCTTCAGAGGTTTTATAAGGGGAGAGATATAAAGGAAGAGAAGGGAGACAAAGCTAACACCTTACACCATGGTCGCCAGAGTGAAAACACTAGAGCCACCTGCAACACTTACCTCTTGAGAATTCTCTCAGCCTGCTGTTCAGATATCTTGACTCCCAGGTCCCGAAGGGACTGCACGATCTCCTGGGCGTCAATGCAGCCTGTAAAGATGACAAGTAAGCTCTAAGCTTTATGAACAAAACAAAGCTGCCAGACAATCTGCAACAGAATCCCTTCGCTCCCAATAAATAAACCAAAATGTGCATACCATCATTCTTTTTGTCTAAGCTCTTGAAAACCAGTCTCAGTTTCTTTTCATGGTCTTGGAGATAGTGAACGAACTCCTCAAAGTCCAGCTGCCCATCTAGGTCCTTATCTCCAGCTTTAACAATTTTCTGCATGAAAAGACACAAAAAAAAACATTACAGGTGGTGACCATTTTAGGCACGCCCAATGGACACACAATTGCAGACCTGTGGATCCTTTTGGACACAGAAGAGGGCAGAACAAGGGACATAACAGGGCAGGGTGCACTTATACATGCCCAATCGACACAGACGGGGGCTGGGAATGGAACCACTGCACAAAATGATCTCTGCTTGGACTTCATTTTGTAGCTTTTTTATATAGCTGTAGCTAGGGAACAGGAGCTGGGAGAATACATAGCACACCTGTTTTTGAACAGCCTCACACATACTGTAAAAACTAAGAATCCAGAGCCCTACTGCATCAGGCCAATGGCACATATAGCATCCTGTTCTCACAGTGGCCAACTACATGCCTATGGAAACCCTAAAAGCAGAACTGGAGCACAGCAGTCCACTCCCCACTGCCAGGAGCTCTTAAATTTAACCAAATATGTTTGATACCAGTTGTGCTGGTTTTTTGAGAGACAGTATGTGTGTTTTCCCCCAAACACTGCTAGGCTACACCTTGTCTTAAGATGCAGGATCAATGTCATGGGCTTGAGAGAAGTGAGGAGAGAGAGAGAGAGAGAGAGAGAGAGAGAGAGAGAGAGCTCTAGTTCTTCTGTAAAAGCTCCTTTGCTAGGCGCTGGGTACAGAGATGTCATCGTACTTTGCCTCTGAACAGGGAAGCAAGGAAGCTAAACCACACCAGCTACTAGAAACAATGACTGACCACCAAATTCAAATACACGAGCTGAAGAGAGATGTCAAAAAGCAGCTCTGAGGCAAGCATGAACTGATCTGGTCACCCTGCAGTTATGCACTTGTGCAAGATACTGGGGGAAACTAGATTTTAGAAGCAAAGTGTATATTTACAGAAGAGATTAAGAGATGGCAAAGTCATGTTGTTAATAAATAAGGAAACTTTATCCTTAACATTCCTCTTAGCAGGAAACAGCACCTTGAGCCTTGCCCAGATAGGCAGGTAAGCAAACCAGACACAGCAACTAAATGGCTGGGTCAATACCGGCTTTGCTATCACCTGTTTTGCATAGAGAGCAGGAAATTTGTTAAGTGAGATAATTATATGCCGAAAAGCACCCAGCAAAGACCAGCTGGCTCCTCACAATGGCTCAACTGGGCTGCCTGCTGATCTCCACACAGCACAAGGCTATGAGTCGCTGGTGCCTGCATTAAATACCGGTCTACTAGGCTAGAGTGCCAAGAAACAGAACCTGTCAATACCTAGCTCCACTTGCAAGACCATGAAAAATTAAAAAAATAGTGGAATGGGTTAGCATACTGCATTTTTAATAATTAGGCTGCTGATAAATATGTTCCGTATTAAAGTAATAAACGTTTCATATTGTATAAGAAACAACTCCTCTGAGAATTACACTAGACATAATTTGAAATGCTCCTTCCTCCCCTTCCCTGTCCCCCATATTACTAAACTTAGGCCTTCATATAATTTAATACCCCTCCTAACCTAAACTTAATAAGGACAGCCGGTCACCATCTGCGGTGACCTTTGAGGCTTCCAAGGTGGATCTAATCTGCAGACAGACATGTGACAGTTGTAAAAGAAGAGAGATAGAAGGGGTCATAATTTGTAAGCTAAAGATAGAAGGCAATCTCTGGCATGTCATCAGATAACTGCTAACGAGCCAATTCAGGGTTTCCCAATACCACATGACCCTTTGGGAGAGGCAATGAGACACTGCGGTCCCTGTAAGCTGGTCCTGGAGAAGCCAAAAATGCACCTCCCCTTTCTGTAAAGGATACTGCAGCGGATACAAGGCAAAAGGGGGAAATGTCTGCTAATGAGCACTCCCAAAACCTTCTGCCAAGTAATCTGCCCCCACTGAACTCGCATCTCTCTGATGCAAACGATTTCTAAAATTGTAACTCTGGGCTCACATCACGGTCAGTGCTGAAATTCTTTCCTACATGTGCACTGGGTCTGCACATTAATCTTCTTGCACTGAGATAGCAAGACTGCTAAGGCCCCAATTGATGCAGGTTTTAAGGTTACTGTACTAAACAGTGCGGTGTTCCTACAGTTCTGATATTTACATTTAAAAAAATCAGTCTGCTTCCATGTATCCCCTCAATCATTGTCCTCAACCCCATCCAGTGTCTCCATGTCAGCAAAAGACTTCTGGTAACCACATTTGAATGCATGATGCTACAAATTGCAAGGCTGTTGGATTCTAGCCTAGTCCGCATTCATCAGTGCCTTGATAGCCATGACATTGTGACACACTGCTAGTGTGAAGGTTCAACAGAACAATGTGAAAGGAAGGGTCATATCGGATGTTGCAGGGCCAATCTTATTGCTCTGATACCATCATACATAAGTGCTAAGAGCTTGCCTTTGCTTACAAGCAAATTAACGAGTAATTAACTCATTAACAAAAATCTGAAGCGCATCTGATAATATGTTTGTTTCAGTTTGGGGAGGTGCAAGATGCTGGCTTTCAAACACTAGAAAGAGAATGAAGGAAATAACTGGGGAGGGGAGGGGAGAGAACAGAAGAGAGTTCTGAACGAACCCAAATTCCTCATGAAAACCAGCTAACTGGCTAACGTACGAGAACGCTGTTGGAACTGCAGTGATGAAACAAGGAAGATTCATAATCAAGTAGGCGACTTATCACCCACAAAATCCTCTCTGCATGTGCACATGAACCCTTCTATTACTTACAATCTTTATAGCAGCAACTACTGCATGTTGCCATGACTGGTAACACTGCCAGAGGGAAAGGGCTGCAGCTCAGTGGTAACACATCTGGTTTTCACACAGAAGGCCCCAGGTTCAATTTCATTGTTTTATTTATTGCATTTATATCCCTTCCCTCCAAGGAGCTCAGGGTGGAGTACATGGTTCTCCCCCTCCCCATTTTATCCTCCCAGTAACCCTGCAAGGTATATTTTACAAGGTTGTTACTGTACTTCATCAGATCTTAGCCTATTTGTAAGAATGGATTCCAAATATCATTGAATTTGAATATACAGTTTTGGGTCATCCGTCCCCCCCCGCTCCCCCCTTTGTTTTCCCTTCTGCACAGGTTCTGTTTCTATTTCTCTTTTTCTCTTTTTGTTTGCACCTCACCATGTTTGATGCACATATAGTTATGTGCCTTTTGAACTTTCAATAAAGATGTTACCAAAAAACCCCAAACCCTGCAAGCTAGGTTGGGCTGGCCGAGGGTCACCCAGCGAGCTTTGTGATTAGGTGGGGTTTCTCCCAGGTCCTAATCAAACACTTTACCCATTATTACACCGCCCAGGCACCTCTAGCTAGAGCCGGGAAAGATACGCTGTCTCCTCCACTGACAACAGCATCAGTAACATTGAACTAGGTGAACCACTGCTCTGACTCTGTGTGAGCTTCCCATCTTCCCTATGGAAACAAATATGACACCCCTTATGTACTTGTGTTTTAAGCCAGACCAGCACAACACATGATCCACCAAATTCAAAACAGCCCACCAGATGTGCATTGTTGCCGGACAGGTGCTTAACAGCTCCATTTAGGCCAAACTCTTGTTCAGATACTTCATTCAGACACTGCTGGGCTGTATTGGATTACAAGTTGTGCAGGCTTGCTTTTAAAAACTTACGGTCTCCTGAACTTTCACATGAACCCTGGGTTGCATCCCACTACTTTCTGGTCAAAGTAGACCAATTGAAATGAATGAATTTAAGTTAGCCATGTCCATTAATTTCAATGGGCATACTCTGAACAGAACATTGGCTATCTGAACTGAACTTCTTGTGTGAGGAAAGTTAGGTGGGAAATGAAGAGATTAACTGATGCTGCCTTCTTCCTGCCACCAACAATGCCACCCAGCCCCGGATGTGCCTCCTCTTCACCTTAAATGTCCCTGGTACACCCTCTCCACCCTCTTTATTTGCATGTAGCCTCAGTTGTAGCAACAATAGGCACAGCCAGTTCCATCCTTCAGAAGAATCAAGGACCTGGCCAAAATTGCTGTCACAGGGTGTTCTAGAGAAGGATGCTGGGTCAAGTTGCTCATATTGATATACATGATACTAAAAGGGAGGGTTTCCCCCACTTCAGATTATATACAGCCAACTGAAGTTTGGGTCCAACATGAACCGGCATTAGAACACACACCCAAAGGCTTTGTGGAAAATAGGCAGTATGAAGCAGAAGGCAGCAGGAGGGCTGAATGTTGGAAATGCACCAGGTGGGTCTTGGAAACCCATTACATCTCCACACAATCTTCCACACTGTATTTACATTGCAAGGAAAATGAGAACTTGTTGAGGAAGGGCAGGGAAGATGACTCACCAACCCTCTTTACACTGAAAGCTGCTATAGAGCAGCAGCTAATAACTATCCCAAGCTAGAACCTGCCTCCAGAACAGAACTGGGCTTAAACTGTTGGGAGCCCTTTACCCATCAGAGGGGGTGCAGGAAAACGTCCTGGAGGCCCCCGTGAGCAGTGGGGGGGGGCAGTGAGCAGTGAAAGCTCAGAGACGCCTCTTTCTCCAAAAGAAGAGATAGGGAGATACCCACTTGATCCTTGAAGTTCACAAACTAAACTTGAGCCATTGACCCAGTCCCAACCAATTTTACCTAGACAGCCTGTTGTCCAGATAAAAGGAGTGGAAGGCAACTATGTGCGCCACCCTCAACTCCTTGAAGGCATAGAGGAGGTCATACTGAACAGATTAGAACAATTCAGCTCACATGCATTCTTTCATACCTGCTTCCATTGACGATAGGTGGAGAACTCCTGGGAAGGAATCAAAAGGCTCAGTCTGAAGATGGGCTTCAGATTCTCAGGAAGCCCCTTCGACTCAAAGTACTCAAACTCTGCCTGGGACTCGCCGAAAGTCGGCACATAGAGGCACAGGCAAAGCATTTCCCCCAGCTGCGCTCAGGCTCTCTTGTAAACCACCCAATTCCGCTCCTTTCTCGTTTCTCGTGCTTGAGAGGAAATGCCGGCAAGACT